AGTACAGAGAAAACTACAACTGTAAAAACCACCTATCCTATTATAAAAAGCAAATTTTTAAGAAATTGAAAGGATTTTTAAGAAATTTAAAGCTCTTTTTTTTCCCAAGCTTTTAAGTTGTTGAGCCATTCACATTATCTAGCAACATTTAATTACTAGTTTATAGCGCTCCAAATTAATTTTTTAAGTGTTTTGTAACCTTCAACTGCTTAACATGTTCTTCTGCTTTGTAAACAATTACCACAATGGTGGTAATTCTTAAGTATTTCTGACAGATAGAGCAGCAAAAGGCCTATGTCAATCTACATGCTTTTTTACAGGCCTTTTATAATCAAGAGCCTGTGTTTAACTGCTGTTTAAAACTTACACTGTTAAAAAGCATGATCTCATTGTAGTAGGCACAGCAGAGATAAACATCAAATTACAATCCCTCAATACATTCATTTAATTTTAAGTCAGGCAAAAAAAGGGGATAAATAACTCTTCTCTCTTCTTTTCTCAGAAACTGTTCACATTGTTCTACATATAACATTGACATAACTGCTACATGTTATATTTAATTTCATTTACAGTTAGTTTTTGTAAACTACTGCACAGGACTACTAAAATAAATGCAACTAATTCACAAAATTTGAAATTCTGTGACTTATTCTAAATAATTTAATGTTAATTTAAGTTCAAGAGCAAAGGCCTGTGCCCTCAAATATCCACACCTCCCACTCTCAAATACAGAAGAGACATTTTTTGATAGAACTGGTTTTAAGGACAGAAAGAGAAAGCAAATGACTATATAAAAAATTCCAACATGAAACAGGGGATGCCATTATATCACTCTTTTTGGTTACATTGGCTTTCACACAATCCCCAAGTATGCAGAAGTGCTGCTATAGTCATGGAAGTTCAGATGTCTTCACATCAAAAGCCTGAGTTCAAAAGCAACAGGACACACATGGAAAAGAACAAATGCTATAACCACACCTTGTGTTTAGTCACAAGGTTTAGCTGGAGTTAAGTTGAAAGCAACAAGATGGGGTCACACAGACATGGGAAGCAAACAGACACAGGAAAAGCAAGTGGAGAGGAGGTGGCAGTCCTGAGGAGAACATGTGGGTCATCAACCACAGCTGCTAGCACCCTGCTCTGCTTCTCTGGGATGGAAGGGGCCAGTGTTTTTGAGCAGTGTTTATTCTCAGGGCAGGAGTCTGATCATAAATTTAGAGGCTACTTAGACTGTCCATTTGTTTTCTGGCTACCTGAGCAAGCACAGTGCAGGTCACTTTGCTGATGGTGCATATCAATCATCAACTGGAAAATATGCTGAATAGGGTTGCTAATGCTGCATGACGTATTTCTAATTGATTATAAATCAAAAGATGTTGTCTAGGTTTACTAAAAAGCAATACTAGTATATTCAACTTAAGCCACTCTAACCTAGAATTATTTTTAACTCACTGTGCTATCTTTAATTTAGAGAAAAAAATTTGCTAACATTTTAGTCACCAAACTGCATTAACCTGAGAAATATTCAAAGAGTAGTGTTCACAACATGACCAATGCTGATCTAGTCATTACATCTGTTGGGTTTAGCTCAAATGTTTTGACAATTATACCAGCTCCCAGAGTCATTGTTAACCACTCTAGACATTGTCCAAGTTTGTACAAATTGCCTCAGGAGCAGGGCTGCTGCAATGTTTCACATCTGCTGCTCCCAAAGAAGTAATATTTCCCTCTCCATTGTTTAAAGATCAGAAGACCAAAAGAGACCTTTACATTCATCAGTTCAGCCAAAGGAAGCCAGGGAATTCTCCCCAATAGAATGATCCTACCTAAGGCTTCCTCCTTTATGGTTAACATCAAGGAAACCATTACGAACAAACATGAATAATTAAAATGTTATGACAAATAACACAAACAGCATAATGAAAACCAATCAATTTTTCTCATTTTCATACCTCTTAACAAAACACAGACTCAAACTACCAGATGCCTTATTCATTGTTCTGTCCTCCAAGCAACAAGTGTAGCCCAGTTATCAGGTGAAAGCCTTGTCTTAGTTCACAGATACATGGGTAGTATCTCATATTCACATGCATTACAGCTGAATGGATTGAACTGCAGTTTTCACATCAAGCAGGAAAGCAGACCCAAACCACTCTGCTAATGCACGTAAATCTCTTTGTCTCCATAGAGAAAAGTTTCATCAAATCTTCAGAAAAAGCCTTCATCAAAGCCAGGATAGCGACCACAGACTGGCAAAAACACATGAGGTTATCTTTGCCTGAGCTGCTGCAGGGGCCAGCAGTACTACAGAAATCAGCATAAGCTGCATGGCCCACTCTGAGCTCTGCTTCCCAGCAGCTCCCACACACCACTCTGAAGTCCCTGGACATTGCTCTGCCAAGCAGCCCTGTGGCTAGGGGAATGTCTGCAAAGCTAAAGCAGAAATATGGTCTTCCCACATGCCTAGTAGTTAAAAAGGAAAATGCAGAAGAAAAGGTTGCTCTGAATGAAAGGTATTGAAAGATAATGAAAGAGATATAAGGAAGTCTGGTGCAGCTAACACCATTTTTACTAAAGTTCCCTCTGAGTATCAAATAGTATTAAAATTTCAGAGATTTTCTACAAATTCCAAAACTTCAGTTTGTTTCCCCGTCTCTAGCAAACTGACTGATCTGATCTCTTTTTATGACAAGGCTATGCACTTAGTAGGTGAGGGAAAGGCTGTGGATGTATCTACTTAGACCTTAGTAAAGACTTTTACACCATTTCCCACACCATTCTCCAGGAGAAACTGGCTTCCCACAGTGTGGACAGGTGTATGCTTTGCTGGGCTAAAGACTGGCTGGATGGTCAGGCCCAGAGAGTGATGGTGAATGGAGCTACATCCAGTTGGCAGATGGGCTCAGGTCTCTTTAATGATCTTTATTGATGACCTGGACATGTAGATTGAGTGTACCCTTAGCAGCTTCACAGATCATAATGAGCTGACAGGCTGGATTGATCAAGTGAAGCCAAATGGATGAGATTGAACAAGCTGAAATGCAGAGTACTGCTCTGGGACTTGCCAGCCTAATTTGGGGCTACAGGCTGGGGCAAGAGTGGCTGGAAAACTGCCCAGTGGAAAAGGATCTGAGAGTGTTAGTTGACAATCAGCAGGACATCAGCTAGTATATGCACAAGTTGCCAAGAAAGCCAATGGCATCCTGGCTTGTATCAGCAATAGTGTGGCCAGCAGGGCCAGGGGACCCTGCACTTGGCACTGGTGAGGTCACACCTTGAGCCCTCTGTTGAGTTTCAGGTGCCTCACAACAAGAAAAACATCGAGGTGCTGGGGCGAGTCCAGAGAACATGGGTAACATGGGGAAGGGTTTGGAGCACAAACCTCTCCACACTCTCTATACAAATATCTCAAGGGAGGTTGTAATCAGGTGGGGGTCAGCTTCTTCTTCCAAGCAGAAAGTGATAGCACAAGAACAAATGGCCTCAAGTTGCACTGGAGGAGGTTTAGACTGGATGGAAAATTTCTTCATCAAAATGGTTGTCATTCTCTGGAACAGGCTGCCTAGGGAATTGGCTGAGTCCTCATCCCTGAAAGTATTTAAAATTTGTGTTGGTGTGCCACTTAGAGGCATGTTTTAGTGGTGCAATGTTAGGTGTGCAGATGGACTTGATCTGAAATATGTTCTTCAATCTAAACAATTCCAGGATTTTTTTCTTAATAAAAAATACAAAAGCATTAATAAATGCTAAAAAAAAGAGTCACTAAAAATTGATTCATAAGCCAGATCAATATATTAAAAAATACTTCTAGTGGCTTCCAGATGTTTCACCAAATGAATGCAGAGACATTGGAAATGCCTCACTGCATTTGAAAAGTATTAATTAATAAATATCATTATTTTATATGGCCTATGGTTTGTTAAAAATCCTACATTGAATATTGAAAATCTATTATACAAAATGTTTGAAATGACAGAGTAGAAAAGCATGCATAACACTACAATAAAAATATGCCTGTCATCTAAAGACTTCAAGGGCTTCTCATGGCTGCTTGGATTTTTGCAGCAGTGAATTATCTACATTCTCCAAAACCAAAAGCAGACGATTTTCCCTTCACAGCTAAGAGCTCTGACAGATGTAATTGAATCATACCACCCAGCCTAGCCTATGACACACAGCAGAACAAATCTGACCATGACCAGGACAGAAATGTTCATCATGACCAGCCAGGGTTCAGGCTGAATAATACTTCAGATGAAAAATATCATTCCCTAATGTAACTATTTCAAATATGAAGGAGAAAGACATTGTAAGAGAGTATACCAATTTCATGGCTTCTTACTCCTTCTGATAAGCACCTTTTCTTTCAAGCAATGAAGTAATTGAAGTTAAGTAAGTTAAGTTAACAAGTAATTTAACATTAAAGTAATGTTCTTTGAATCAAAGTTATGGCAAATAAAACTTTCCTCATCTTCTCATATGGTCAGCAATAGGAACAGTACTGCCTTCAGGAAATGTGAGTATAGCAGAGGATGATAATAGCACAGATATTGTTACTGTAAAGCCACACAACAGTTTCAACTTGATGGTTTCCATTTGCTCAATACATAAGTCAATTAAATTGATTTTACTGGAGTCAGGAAATATTAACAATTGCCACATTAGAAGAATAACACTGTGCAGATAACACCAATATGATGTGGCTGCACCTAGCAACTAAACACGATCTCACAACAGCTCACATTGTTATATCCTCTTCTAATTTGTTCTTAGAGTTTCATAATTTAATCCAATTTTTGATTTTTCTCTCCTTCTTAAAGCAAAATACTGTCAATACAATTCTCTGGAAAAAACAAACTTTCAATTACTTCAAAGTCATCAGTGTATTTCTTAATCTCTGATTTATCACGATGAGAGAAGTCTTCTATCAAAATATATCAATGAGAAAAGCAATTATTCAAAAAATTACTTGCAGCTTCGTAAGTCTGAGAATTACTAACCTGGATTTTACCGTGGAGACATCTTAAAAGGACAAAAAAGTGCATAATTTTCCCTGTTATCAGAAAAAAAAAAAAAATCATTACAAGAGGGGAGAGCTAAAAGTTGGCAAAATACCTTCAGAACTTACTGGGATAGCTTCCTTGGGACAGGTGAAGCACCAGATCACATGATTTGCAGTGTTCACCCTTGGAATAAAAAGGGCATACCTCAAGTTTTCACAGTCAGGAAGCAAAAACCCAGTTCATTGTGAAGATCTAGCCACTGTGGTATTTGAACAGCGGGGGCTTAGTAAGACATTCAGAATTTTGCAGCAGAAAGGATTGTTGCAATTAACAAAGCATATTTGAAAAAGCATAAGGTTATATGTTTGTTTGGTTGCAGAGCAAGATTCCCTAGTGCAGCTTCTATTGTGGTCATTTAGTGCAATAAAATTACAGACCAGTTACCAGCAGATTTCTCTCATACATGCACTGATTCTCAAACAGAAGAAACGACTTGTCTAAGAACACAAGTCAGAAATGCCATGGGCTTTGTAAAATACATCGTGAAAATCTTCCCTCTGATCACAAAACATACAAGTTGTGGCTACTGACATTTTACCTAGAGCTAGCATAATTTTTCTAAACTCAGAAATGTACCAGCTCCAGTTTGATCAGATTATCTGAATTTTATTAGCTTCTTGCAAATGCATATGGTCTTAGTGCAGTGCTACTGTTTTCTGAAGTTCAATGAACAGTGAACACAGGTTGTGTTTCCTGCTGATACAGAGAACTTCTTAAAATGCCAGTAAAATTTTCATAAAGTGCATATTTCAGTCAACCCTTTTAACAATTGAAAAATTGAAGAAAAAAAGAATAATTAGTAGCTGCTTTGTTGAGAAACCAGCAAAATTATTACCACCCACACATGGCATCTGTGATACCAGAGAATCCAAGAATTATATATGCATCAGAAAAAAATCTTGCAGCACTTTAGCACCAAGACAAAATAGTAATCCTGACATGTAGATTCTTGCATGTCAATCAATCACTGAAATTACTCTTGAATTGTTAACAAATCAGTCTTTCCAACAATGTAGGTATCATCTTTCTAAATAAATACCACATTTATATCTAACAGGGGAATTTTCATTCTACCTCTTGCAGGAGATTTAATGCATTCATGTTATTAATTATTCAAAATTTTCCCCTCAGATTTCATTCCTTCTGCTGCTGAAGATTCTTTTTGCAGTTAGTTCTTCTGTGACAGATCTCTATGCATCACTTTAAAGAGACATTTTTGCAGGACACTGTCAGCATATTGGGAAAATATTTTAAATACTTTAAGAGATTATTACAAATGCAACAAAGAACATCAGAGTAATAAATGAAGAAATACAGCATTGGAGCCAAAGCCTATTTTTGCATTATTAGAAGGAAACTCCAGTGTATGTATTCCTGATATTTTCAGATGTTCTAGACCAGTTTTATAGAACTTATTACATACCTTTAGTTTTAAAAAGACTGGAATTCTTACACACTTCTGGTCTCAGCATCTTTAGACCACAGCTCTCCTGAGGAAACGAGAAACTGAAAGATAAAACTAACTCCCAGTTTCTTTGCACAGTAGAGCAGAACTTTAGAAATTTAGTTTAAGAACCTGCTCCACTCATCTGTTACATGGCCATGAGCAAGGCAGGTAGCTTCCATGCACCAAACCTCACTCTGATGAGTTTAACAGTTGAGAAAATGAAGACTGTGTCAACAATACCAGCAGGAAGATAAATATGGAGCAAGCACTGCCTGAGGAAAGTACCAAATCAAAAACTCCCCAAATCCCCATGGAAGAGCTTTTTAAAAAACTCTAATTAAAAAAANNNNAAAAAAAAAACAATAAGAACCAAAAACTAAAAAAAAAAACTTTTTCAAAGATCCCTGAAAAAAAAAAAATCCAAAAATTAAGGTTAAAAAAAAACTGTTTTAACCAGCAGTAGTTTCAACCTAGAAAAATAATATTGCAATTACTTCAAGTTAGGAAGTATACACCTGGAACCTTTTTATTCTTAAAGCTTTATCTTGCTGTGTCTGAATTTAAATGAAATTTAGCATTATCACAGAGAGATGTACTGGAGTAGAGCACTAATGTTTGAGCCACCCAAGGAAAGCTTTCTATTTGACTGTATTGTCAGAATGAAGTTAATGTTCACCTACAAATTTGTGAACAGCATCCCATAGCAGTACTCATTAGTTCTTTCTGTCTGACTGGATTTTTAATTAAACAAAAATTGCCATGGATCTTCTTATCAGAGCCTATTCTTCTGGTTCTGTGCAATGATTGATTAGCATCCCTCCACTCTTATTTGCAAGAGTACTAGCAATCAATGAAAGCAATTACGCTTATAATAGAGTACACAGAGAAACACAAGATTTGATGACCCTTTAAAACTTCAATTATCCCAGTTGCTAAAAAATATTGCTAAAACACTCCATCTATACAATTACTTATACTGCTGACCAGTCCTACTGTGCTTAACCACTTGCTGCATTAATTAGACAAAGCTACCTAGAGTTTCTGGCTTTTCACCTGTTTTTGGATAACAGAACATTGTTTTCACAGGTTTTTGGTGGGTAACAACCAGTAGCATTGTACCTGTCACTGTGTTTTTATCAGAACATTGTTTAATTTTTAGCCATAAAGAATACCATGAAAGCAATATTGATATTCCAATTGCACAAGACATGAGCACCATTTCTGGACAAGAAATATATTTTCAATCATAATTTAATTTTTAAGAAGTTGTTACACAGAAGGCAGCACTGAAATGTGCTTTCAGATGAAAGATCTGTATATTTATGGTAGATTTTACCACATGGGTCTCAAAAGTTTAAGCAATGTATTTGATGCTTTCCATACATCATGAAGCTCTGAGAGGTACATAGCAGAGGCATTTAATTTCAGGCAGACAATATACCTGTGCCTGAAATAACTAAAACTTTGGCTTCATTTGCCTACCCTCCTTCTCTCCAGCTCCTTCCCCATGCCTTACCCAGACGAGCTCCCAGATTGCTGAACAGATGAATGAGAATGGGTTTTAACTGGCAGCTTCAAGATTGCCATCTGAGATTATCAAAACTCTTTATATGTATTTAAATACCATTTCTTTAATTCAGAGAAGGAATTGGCAGTTTCAACATGCAGGGTACACACAAAGTGAATGTATTAATTAATTCCAATCTACATAGCAATGCCTGTTAATCAAATCAGAATTTCAAACTGTATATATTTGTATATTCCTTCAAGACCACCAAAAAAGGCATGAGTAGATTGTTTAAAGGTGCATTGTTCTTGGAGTTAAAGAGTGAAAATAATAGTGTTTTTAATGAGTATTAAGCGTTATATACAGCACTGAGTTTACTAATTACTCATAATATCCATGTCTATCCTTTTATCAGCCGGATTTCACTAAATGATAATTGCAGAACTGTCACCTGAGAAGTTTAGAACTGATATTTCTCAAAGTGGTTTGTAATGCCATGATGATTTCAGGTACTTGACACAACATTTGCCTTGCTCCAAAATAGCCCTTAAAATGTACTTAAAACCCTTAAAATGCACTTAAATGTTAAAACTACATGTAAGATGTACTAGAAGAAAATGTGAGAAGCACTATCTGCCCATGGTCTTCTTTGGTAACAGAACCAAGGGGCAAGGAATCCCACAAGTGGTTTGAAGACAGAATTTTCTTTAGTCCATTAGCAGCCTGTGCAAATTCACTAGAACTTAGGATATTTTCTTGTCCGCTTTTAGTTGCCCTTCATACAACTCTAAGTCAATCAAATCAGTGACTACACCATCAAAGTGCTGACTGGTTCTTTCAGGAATTACTTAAAAATAAGTAAAAATAGCATAATGTAGCATGCCTTTTGGTTGTCTGTTTCAATCACTTAGCAACAGAGTGACAGAGTGGTCCATACACACATGTCAACGTCTTGGGAGTAGAGAGCATAGTGAAGATGTTTTCACAATGGTTAAATTTGTATGTAAAGCAGGCTTTGCACTTATCCACTAGAAGTGTTTCAAAACCCAGCACCCCACTGTGGCTTTCATTTTTGGTCTCTTCTGAGGGGGAAAGAGCAAACTGTGTGGGAGTACTGTTAACTTGGTATGGGTTAAATGTCTCTATTTCCATCTACTTAAAATAGCATTTTATCAGCTCCCAAAGCCAATATTTTATGTAATTTTTATACTAGCTACAAAATCTCAGAAACCATGAAAGTTTCTGACAGACTGATGAAATTCTGAGAAGGCGCTTAATAAAAATTACTAACGGGTGTTGCAATACATTTACTATTGGAGCTTAAAGCTGAAGCACACATAAATTGCATTAAAATCATGTGAGTTCAAAGTTACTATAGGATAACTGTTACATGACGAGCTATGAAGATACATTACAGCCTCTGGTGTCTAAACCACTGTGAAAAAAATTTCCTTAGGCCTCCTAGAACTTCACTAGAAAGATTCCCTGTGTACTGCAGACTCTCAGTCTACCTTAGTAAGACTGTCTACTATAGTTACAGAAACTGCCATAAATAAATGAAAAATACTTCGCTAATCATAGGCCTGCTAGGAAATAGCAAGAGACCCTCACATGATCTCACACTATCAAGCAGGGATTTGATTAATTGAGTGCTTGACCTCTGATGAGTGGTTTCAGCAGCTCTTTTTGGAATACTGGAAAATTAAATGAAAGCATGCCATTCTGATTGTAAATTGGTATCTCCTTATAAAATAAGGTATTTTGATAATAAACAACACTGGCCTCAGATTTGGACAATGAAAACTACTGAAATTGCAGGCTTATTAAGACACCTGGAATTAATCACCATACTCAAAGCTGCAAAGGCATGCAGATAAACCTATCTTTTTTGAAAACAGAACAAAATCCCCCAAAGTCTCACACTAACTTTGAATGACCACAGATGTTTAATTTTCCTCCAGATATGAGTAAGATCAGCTATCAGAAGAATTTTGAAAAGTGAAACAGGACCTCAGTCAGTGTTGACCATTGGCAGCCTCGGAGACAGATGATTTCTGGGCATTTACTTAAGCCATCTGAATCTGTGTTGTGCATCACAGACCACACAGGAAAAACATCTCCCCATTTTAAAGCCTTCTTTTTTAATTCAGAGGAAGAAAAATGACAAGTGGTTTTGTTTGTTTTTCCTCCTTTTCTACAGTTATAGTTTTACTTGTTCTCCTTGGTCACACACGTATAAAACAGACTGAAAAAATAATCAAAAATTCATTTAAACTATCTTTTGAGCTAGGAAAGTTATATTTTTTCCTAATACAGTCCCCAGGTGGACTCATTTTGTCTTCATGAATAAAGAAACACCTAAAAACCCACATGTACTACATTCAGTCAGAAATTCTGCTACCTTTTATCATCATTTCCTAATAGGATTAAAAGGCTGTCAGCATCAGAGCTATTATGAGCTCATATAAGGTTACAGCAGATACCCATTGCATTTCCCATTGTTCATGACAATCAGGCTGAGATTCACACAGCAGAAGGCTGAACTGTGCAGCGCACAGACCAGCTCTGGCCAGAAGAGAAGCAGACGCTGGGGAGCTGGGAACAGAAAGGTCGGGCAGCTCCAAGAGCTTTCAGGCAGCTTCACAAGCCTCATGATCTTCATCTCAATGGCGAAACTACAAGTGGAGAACAACACAGAAAGATCACTGTAAGAGGAAAAATACTCGTGTACTGCTTTGAAATGCTTTGAAATCTAACCTAGACACATTGACTGAAAGAGACAGCAGTTCAATTTCTATGTGTACTTGCTGTCCTAATAATTTTGGAAACACTAACCAGATTGTAGACTCTTCGACTCTTAGTATGAGATGAGTATATCTCCTTTTTTTTTTTTTTTTTTTTTTTTTTTTTTTTTTTTTTTTTTTTTTTTTTTTTTTTTTTTTTTTTTTTGTAAATGTGCAGGAACAGGATACTATTTGGTTAGAGAATGCAATGAAACTTCAACAACTCACTCACTACAATTTTTTTTTATCATTTACAATAACATACTCTTTTTGTGTGCGTTGCAGTTAGAAACACAAACTGAGATAGGAACACAAACTTACGTCTACTTATTCCATCTTTTTTACTTAGTTCACTGTAGTGCTGGAATTGTAAGACTTTTATGGCAGCTTCACTTGTCATGACCTAACACTAAGTGAGATCCAGATGAAACAAATTACAGCAATGGGCTCTTCTTTCCCCTTCCAAATCCAAGTCTTCACAAACTACTGACTGCTACATTAACCTATGTTCATACTTCTTCTGACGTGATTTCACAAGACAACTGGCAAAATGCAAGAAGAGCGCAGGCAGGAAAAGGGAAAGAGGAAGAACTGGTTAAAAAGAAATTACAAATTCCATACGCCAAATTGCTGACATTTTTTAAAAACTATTTTATGATTGTATAAGATTATATGCTTCTATAATTAGAAATTAAGAAACATTTAATCTTAACCTAAATGATATATTTATTCAAATGTGGGTATTCTCAATTGTTCTTTCAGCTTATGTGATGCACATTTTTGACTGCAATGGAAAAAAGGCACTTGACATCATGAGGACAAATGTAGCATAGGGAAATATAAGGAAATTAGTATTCTAAAATGGCTCTTAGAGAGATGCATGCACCATTACACCATATAATTCAGACATTCACATTATGATACCTTGCTTGATTCTATCTTTGAGACACAGTGACCTTTCACTACGTGATTTAAGTTAGCAGACAATGGGAACTTTGATAGTATTTACTGAGAGACGCAAACAGATGCAGCTCTCAGAGCTC